TGGGTACCGGGGTCCTTTCCCGGGGGTAAAGCCGGCCGGGGCGTGATGCTGACCACTCACCCCCATCTAGTGCCGAGGTCAAGGAAGAGAGGAGCTATACCTCCACTCCCCCCAAACGCCTACATGGCGTGTAGTGGGACAAACTTTACTTACTTTTTGTTATCCACATCACCTTTTCAGCCTTAAACATGGCTCAACAATTTAGAGACAGCCATTCTCAGTAGTGATGGAAACATAAACCAACATTAACTGAAAAGATGTTTAAATGACACAGAACAGTTATTTTTTCTGTGTTTGGAGAACAGGAATAAGAATCTCAGTTCTTCAGGATACTTCATGAGCACTTAGTATTTTTCACCTGATCAGAATACTTTGAACTTGGTCGGACTCTAGGGCTATTCACTGTTGTGTGCTATATATTCTATGAAGTTGGTGATGTTCCACTTCTTCTATGGCTCTCCGGTCCGTATTCGGTCCATGGCCTCCTCAAATATCCTCTTCCATTCGGTCTTCTGTTAGGTCCGTCTGTCCGAGGCTTTGATCGAGGTTTCGAAACGTCTTCCTTTTTACGGTGCAAGGTTGTTAGCCTTGCGACCAACCCCCAACCTGGAGGACCAGGGTACCTGTCTTAGTCTGACCTCTCCCCCCTCGACCAATCTGATGATGTTAACGGTTAAAATTACAAATGTGGTCATGGAATGAATTGTTTAGGTTATATTTGACAATGTTTGAGGCATTGGAAGCCTGTAAAAGAAGAAACATGCACATAAACAAATTGCAACAAATCAGATTCATAATTTGTCGATGTTGTTTTCCTGGGCGTGTTTGTAGATACGAATGTAAGAAACGCACTGTTCCCACCTTTAGGACTGAAGACTTCGCTGTCTTGAGCACCTTGCGCAGTTACGTAATCATTCATTAACGAGTTTGATTGGAGGAGTACTTAAAGGGATACAGTCATCAGAGGCTGTTTGCAGAAATACTTCATATTATTTGAAGTGATGTGATTTAAGTATTTCACCAGGTACTCGCTTACACATAGTGATAAATTCATGGAAAACCAAGCAAGTTATGATATTTAGTCAGTTTTTATCATTATATCAGATTATGCTAGGAATGAATCTTTTTTCATGAAATAAGAATGTTACCGGGGTCAGCTATGCTAACATTTCTTATCAGTTGTTTGTACTGTGACTTGCTAACTTGAAATTCTGTCTCACACAAGTGTTTGCTCCTATTTTTCCTGGAAAATATGAGACATTAAGTGCTATATTTTAGACGATATGAATCCAGACATGTTTACAAAATGGTATTTTACAATTTATTGCAGAACTTGTCATTTCCTTATACAGTTAATCTGTGTTCAAAAGAATTTATTTTATCATAAGGAGTGTAATGTATTTATATACAGGTCCAAATTACGTAACTATTGGGGCTGTTTTTTTTTGCCAGAATACCAAAATATTTCTTGGATTTAGATTATTGAAGTAAACATTTCAAATATTACCATTAAGCATAGATGTTTGTTTCTTAGTTTGATAGTATTTTCTGAAAAGTATGAACATTAAATAGGAGGATAGTTAGGAGTGAGTGGGTCTGTGTTCTGGGTTATTGCGCCATGCAGTCTAGTAGAAGTTCACCGACATTTTAGACGTCCTTGCTGCTTCCATCATCA